GTTTTCCTGCGTGTCACGTAATATATGTCAATTAAATGCATATCAATATCAATAAAATAACATTAAGATGTTATTTCAGCTTCGAGCTCAAATTAAAGTACATAAGCATTACAAGAAGACTTATTTCAGATTAAAAGAACAAACTTGAAGTGTTATGAAAGCAGAATCATTAAACAGAAATGAGCTAATACGAGTAAATCTGGCTCCATAAAGTCTTCATTTCTTTATTTGCACATGCCTGAACCGTTGTTTCTAACTTATACATTTGAATCACACTTGAAAGGCACGAATATACATGTATATTTCGGTATAACAATAGAGAAAATCAAACTTTAATCATAACATTTAAGTGATGGGCATGCCGATAATGGGAGAAAACAATTCCAAATGTCATCAATAATACCGCGGGGCAACGCCAAAGAGCCACTACACAAATTCGGCAGTTTTGTTTTAAATGTTGGTGTAATTTTCTACTATAATTGGGCAGATTACAAATACAAAAGGAACATCACAAATGTAAAATATGCTACAAAAGCAAGTCTGCTTCATTTAGAATACGCTTTCTTAAAGACGATTAATGAAGTTTATTTTGATTGCATTTTTATTGTTCATGAACAAAAACATGTTTTTGCGACCAATAACAGCATAAACCAATGTTGTAGCCCAAGAAAATGCATTGTTTGGATAGATAAACCATGTCATACGCTCAATAATCTATATGACAAAACACTTCAAAGACTCACTTTTAACTGCCCAACTGTATGAATAATTCAAGAACGCAATTTTCTTAGGAAAAAGAAATGAAGCTTGCATGGCGGCGTAGTGTGAAGATTATGTCAAATGCCAAACACTTGTTGTGTTGTGACGTCGATGCTTTAGTTTCATAGAAACTTGCATTCTTTCATCTTGGTGTGAATTGTGTATGGTAAAACTTGGATACCACCATATAAAAGCTCATGAGCAAATTATCACTTAGAAATTTTAATGCCAATGTTATTTTGAAAGAAACTCCATTATGCACATTGTCATTCCATGCCAATGATTTATGACATTGAAGATATTTAACAGGCTTAATGAAAGGTCCATATGAAAAAAATCACTAAGAATCTTTAATACCAATGCCTTTTTGAAATAAAGTTCCATAAGGTATATTTACTTCCCATTGGCAATGATTTATGATATTGAAGATGATTAACAGGTTTCATGAAAGGCTTAATCAAACCGATCCCGCAACATTTCAAACGTTTTAAACGTTCTTCAGGGATTTCGTTCTCTATATTGCAATATTCTCAGTCGAATACATGATCCACACAATTCCACATGTTGACATTGATCTCAAGAGATCATTAAAATTCAAAACAAAAAACAAAGATCAGAATTGAGTCGTAATTACCGACTTTTACTGCTTTAGGCCAAATTTTACACAAGAAATGATCATACACGTATTTTCAACCACAGTCATTACATTTTTGACCAAAAATTTGCTACACACTGTCAACCGATTAACAAAAACATTAAATGTTTCGTGTCCTAGTGCTTCTGGGAATTTTGTCTTTCATTAGAAGTCTTTGTTACACAGACATTCAATTTAGTCTGCATCAGTACTAGTGCTGTGCAATAATTGCATCGCATTTCTAAACAGCAATTCTCAATCTTAAATGCAAAAGAAGAGTTTCAGTAAGCGAGCTGGATAGTTAATGTTATTGCCGATATTTAAGATGCAATGTGGCCAGTGATATATAAATATATCCTTATTCAAAACTCTGTAGGAATATGAGCTAGCAATCAGGTATAGTACTCGTCTATCAAAACATTCTTTAAACACTTTAAAGTCGTATTTAGTTATTTAACATTACCTGAAACATACACGTTTCACTCCCTAAACACTTCGAGTGAGACTAAAAAAGTGATAGTGCACCAGACCAAATACTGTATTCAGGGATATACCAGACAAAGCGCTCGTATGATTATATGCTTAAATATCGACATTTCACCCACCGAAATCCACTTTAAGACTCTTCAAACTGATTTATATACGATCATGAAAGAAAAATTTAAGAATCGGCAAAAAAGCGCTATTTTTTATACTCGTGATCATGATTTCTGCAAGCGTCTAGATGTACTGCTCTATCACTGTATTTAGTTAAACTGAAACACTTCACCTTTCTCTTAAATATACAAGTAGTAATCTACATTATGCTCTTGTGCTTTAAATATTAACATATTGGCATTTTACAGAGAACAAATTAACTGCAGTGTGTCTATTAGCTCCCCGGCAAAGAGAAAAATAGATGTGTTTAAATGCAACATGATGTACAAATTATTACAGAGTACAACATAAATTATTGATGTAGTCCATGAGCCTTTAACATATACGATGTACAACTGGCCAAAATACAATATAACTTACCCAAGACAGCAATATTGTAAAAGAGCACTATTGTTTGACTTTAATGACTCACTGCCAGATGACTAGTCATACTACTGTACTTCAATAACTACTTCCAAGATAAATATTCAAACATAAATAGTATTAACAAAGGTTAGGGCATTAAAGCAATTAACAACTTAATTTAGAAATCCCTTATGTAAACCTTAGTTTATGATTTTAAGAGATAATTAACCGGTAATGAAATACTGAAAGACTGCAACCTGAACCACCGAAATGGCGCTAAACATTACTAGAAGAATAACCTTTATTGGCATTAAATTTTAAAGCGGCGATACTTTTTTCCCAGCTATGATGTCAAAACACAAACTTTTAATTGTTACTTTTTAAAGTCAATGTCATTCTATTTCAAGAATGTATATTACGTAATGACTGGAGCATAAAGCTTTCGTAATGGACTCTAATTATAAATGGCACATGTCTGGGATGTCTTTGACGTTAATTTTGTCACTGATATGCATTTTCTTCATTTCAAAAATGCCTGCTTTCGTTTACTTCTAATAACAAACTATACACATGTGACTTGTCTCACAGACTTAAAAATGTTATAAGAACGCGATTGCTATGCTCTAGAAAGTACAGATATTATTCATATCAACGCTACATATCAACGCACTTTAGGTTCCAGAGTTCTGAAGGAGTCCACTGATTTCTGCTTAAATACTGAGTACTGACTTGACATCGGAATATTTGAGGTGGGTGGAGTTCTAGATGACGGCCGATTATAACATACATCAATCTTACCAAGTGCCATTTAAATTCTGCAAATATAAATAGCTCTTATAAAAATGTGATGCTTATAAGTGACAAGTGTGTTATTAATTTTACCCACTAAAAATATCTAAAAATTGTGTCCATGTAACAAAGTACTATATAGCACATAAATTGCGAATGTATTCCTAAAAATATAAGGTGCCTCGAAAAATATCCTGTTCTATCAGCCATTTACATGAAACCCATTTTAAATATGATGGGGATGTAATAAAATGCAGTTAATATTTTATTTCCAAAGAACAGTAGCAAATGTAGCAAAATGTAAACAATGTAGTATTTGACTTCCATATAAAATACTTATTACTATAACTGTACTTCTTGCCAAAAAAGCAAAAGATGAAAAAGATGGTTCAACTGATTGGATACTATAGAAGTAGACATCAAAATTAAGAAGCTTTCGAGAAATACAAATAAAAGCATAATGTGCCTTCAAAAGTATATTTTTTTCTCAGTTTTCTGCACTTTTGATATGCCTAGAGTTCCGCAAAGTATTGGATGTTCTACTCGTGCTATTCAACATCTTGGCAACGTTTTCAAGCAACAGGAGAAGATCGACCACGTTATGGACGTCCGCGCGTCACAATGCATGCCCAAGGCCGCTATATTTGGAACACTGGGTTCCACGTCGCGCAACTCGCTTCAAACTCCATAAGATACTGCTGGCTTAACCCTGGTAACATAACAACCGTACATTTGCCCAAACTGTGCACAATCACTTGCACGACGGTGGGCTTAATGGACGTCGACAATACGTTGGTTGCGTTTTGAGGCGACGTCGCCGAGTAAATCGTGTTAATTGGGCTCGTACACACCGACGCTGGCTTAGACACCAATGAAATAGCGTTCTTATCTCTGACGATTCGAGGTTTTCCATTCATCGCGCTGATGGCAGGATTCGAGTACACCGTAGGAGAAATGAACGTTATGCCGCGATCGTTTTAGGGGTAAGGGTTCTGTCTTGGTCTTGTCAGGCATTGAACATGGCTTTCGCACTAATCTCGTCGGTGTGGAAGGGAATTCGAACGCCTACCGCTACAGAGAGGAAATTCTTGCGAGGCATGTTATCCAACTGTTTGAGATATTGCCAATATCAATATTTTAAACATGCCAAGGGTCATACAGATAGGGACATTTCGAATTTCCTCAGGGCGAATAGCATTTATTAATGAGTGGCCTGCCCTTTTTAAAATCCCATTGGAATGTTGAGGCCTTTCTTTCAACGCCCCATTCCACCGTCAAACGTCATTCTGCTAAGCAAGCATTTAAGAATGGAACAATATTCCACAGCGGAAATCAATACGCTGATCCGTTCTATGCGCCAACGGTGCCAGGCAGTCCTTCATGCTGAAGGTGGTCATACCCGATATTAATTTGTGATTTTGTTGGGCGACCCCTTCAGCATTTTAACTACCATTTCCCTTCTTTTGAGCAAACCCTAAGCAATAATTTTTTCACCAACGAATCGCAATAAAATACTTTTTCAATCCATATAAATTTTCTTTTATCCTGATTTTCATTGTACATCTGCACTCAAACACAGGGGAAGTTTCTTTTTTGTTCAGTATATTCAAACTGTCAGTGCGTGACAGGTAAGGAAAACGGAACAGTGTCAAGACAAAATTTAACAATATATGTGAAAAACGAGCTGGTTGTAAATGTTATGCATGTAGTATAATATTTGACGAGTAGCTACCTAGAGTAAAATGGTTTAATCATTAATAATGTAACTGATATGCTACAGGAATCCGGTTGGATGATAAATGATCTCATATATGTAAAGAATGATATAAATAGTATATGACAAACAGCACACAAATCTATAAATAATTCCATTTAACATCGTGATTATTAGTCATACAATAAACTGCGAATATCTTATCCGGAAGTTTCAATTGCAGAAAAGAAACCGTTGCCGAATCTCTGTTGGAATTAGCTGGTGAAAAATCTGCCAATGTGTTGATGTTGGTGAAACAGGTAAAATTTTATGTATCATATTATCCATTTGATAAATTATAACTCTTCATTCTCTAAACGGCATAAATTTAAAACTGTGATTTATAAAAATTGGCAATTTTATTAAATGGACTAGTACAATGATATATATTATAGCTTAAAGAAAGAAAATGTTGACCACTGAAATACTACGATTGTATAAAGGATTGACTGAAGAAAAACCTGACAGTGTGTTGATGTTTGTGAAACAGTCACAATTGTAAGTATCAAATTATCTCTTTCATAATTCATCATTATCCTCTGTTTTTTGGTCATAAAATACTTTTAAGGTAGACCATGGGTAATGGGCACCATAAGGTACTGTAAAATTGACAACATAGGACAGTTATATGTCTTCAAGGTCAACTGTATGCAAAATTTAAATAAAATTTACCGTTTGGTTTATGAGTTATGGATATATTTCTAAACTAAGACTTTGCCATTAGAAGGGCTTATTTTCAGAAATGAAGAAACTCTAAATAATCTGTAATATCATCATTATAAAAAATGTTTTTCTATCACCTATTGTTAAGAAACAAATAGTAACATTCATGTAACAAATTACACAAGCACAATGTTTGTTTCTAAACAAAATGTTCTTAATATGTATATAAAATGTTACCCTACCCCACCCACTTTAAACACTAATTTTACCATTTCCCTATCTAAAATGCCTTATTCAAAATATTCCTAAAATTTACCATAATGAGGGGCTGTTTTCAAAAGTTTGCCTAAATTTTTTTAAAGGTATATTGGTTGATCCTGCGAAAAATAAAATACTTTTACCGTGTAGTTTTTATTTTATTAAACTTTAAAAATATCTGGTATCATATTTTCTATTTATTTTGTCATTATTTAGCAAATAAATACCTACACAAATTATATAATTTAAATCAAACCCTTTTTTCTTTCATAAGGGATCAGAGGGATACATAAAAAATGTTAAAAAGAAAAAAAAGAAAGAAAAAAAGTTGCCCCTTCTGGGGCTTGAACCCACGCCCCTCAATTTCAATGTAGTTTGCAAGCGATTTTAGTCTATTTGAATACTCTTCAAAGTGGAGGTAATGCATTACCCATGGTCTACCTTAAAATCTATATAGCAAGTGATTAAGCATATTGTTAAGTGATAATTAAAATTGCTGTATAATAAGGTTTCAAAATTCCATTTTCTTTAGTTCTGCCCATTGCTCTCTCGTTTAGGACACACGCATTTTTTTACTTGGGGACCATGCGGCAATTTTCATGGAATTGCACGAAAGTGTCACATTGAATAATCCGTGACAACGCCGTGTAAACACATCTGCGGATGTCTTAAAAATTCAAAATTTCACCATTGTGATGTTTAAATGTTTCAATGTCTGCTTGAGACGGTGCTAGGGGGCGTGAACGATAACTTAATTCCGTTCATGAACATGCTCAATCAAACCGAGCCTGCAACATTTTTATTTTGTCGTTTTCAGCGTTCTTTAGGGATTTGTTTTTCTCTTTTTAAATAAACAGTAAATCTGTATTTGAAAACCTTATAATTCAAGTTCAAAGCCATCAAATATAAATAAACAAGTATCTTATATATATTTCAATTAATTAACGGCTTTGTCTGCATCCGAAGAAATTTCACGGCCTTATACAATGTAATTCATAAGATAAATTGAAATAAATACCGGTATGCATTATTTGAACAATGCATTTTGAAGCGAATTCATACGGTTTTATAAAACGAGTGTAATATTCAATTTATCACAAGCCCTGGGTATACGTAGAAAACAAACTTATCGCTTAGATCATGATTATCATAAATTAAAATGTCAAAGCTATAAAGAAATATAGCACAAAATATAGTCCTATTTTATGTTTTGCAACAAAAACAAGTCTTCACTAGATCAATCCAGTTTTCGAGTAGCAATAATAAAACATGAAACGGGTAGACAGTAGAATTTGATCAATATGACGAAAATACAGTTAAATGTGTAAAAAAGTGTTGTATGCATTTGGACATATTAGGTAACCTTGTTAGAAAATTTATGTATTTGAATGGCAGAGTTTGTAAACTATTCTGATAAATATACATTCATATTTATTCTATCTAAGACTAATATTTTTAAAGTAACAGCAACAAGAGGGCAATGATGGCCCTGAGGTCGCTAACCTGTATATAGGCCCCCGGAGCGGGGCCAGTTTAAACCCCAGGGCTTTTATTTGAACAAACTTGTAACACCCATTAGAAGATGTTTCATGAGTTTCATAAGTTTTTACTTCACACATGAAAAACAATGACCTTCTTCTTCCCCACCACCGGCAGGGCCAATTTTAACCCAAGGGTTTTTTTTTTGAACAAACTTGGTAGACACCCATAAGAAGCTGTTTCATGCTAAACATTTAAGCTCTAGCTCATTGGGTTTTTTAAAATAAGATTTTTTAAGTTTTTACTAAATACATATAGTTAAAAACAATGACACCCCTGGGGCTGGGCCAGTTTTGACTCCAGGGCTTTTATTTGCACAAATTTGTAGACACTTAGTAGAAGATGTTTCATGCTTAATATCTAAACTCTAGCTATTTGGGTTTTTTCAAAGAAGATTTTTTAAGTTTTTGATATACACATATAAGGAAAATCAATGACCCCCTGGGGCGGGGCCAATTTTGACCCCAGGGCTTTTATTTGAACAAACTTGGTAGACACCCATTAGAACATGTTTCACGCTAAATACCTTAGCTCTAGCTCTTTGAGTTCTTTAAAAGAAGATTTTTTAAGTTTTTACTATATGCATATAGGGAAAATCAATGACCCCCTGGGGCGGGGCCAATTTTGACCCCAGGACTTTTATTTGAACAAACTTGGTAGACACTCATTAGAAAAAGTTTCTTGCTAAATATCTTAGCTCTAGCTCTTTGGGTTCTTTAAAAGAAGATTTTTTAAGTTTTTACTATATGCATATAGGGAAAATCAATGACCCCCTGGGACGGGGCGAATTTTGATCCCGGGGCTTTTATTGGAACAAACTTGGTAGACACTCACTAGAAGATGTTTCATGCCAAATATCTAAGCACTAGCTCTTTGGATTTTTAAAAGAAGATATTTAAAGTTTTTTTTTGTTTCGGTTGCCATGGCAACCAGAGTTCTGCATGGAATTAAATTCTTTGATTATTTTTTTAAGGTGACCACCAAAGGAACATTCCTGTGAAGTTTGGATGAAATTGGCTTAGTGGTTTATGAGGAATGTAATTTAAAGTAAAAGGTTACGGACGGACGGACTGACGCCGGGCGAAAAGCGATCACAAAAGCTCACCCTGTCACTTTGTGACAGGTGAGCTAAAAAACTGTTACCCGGTTAACTGGGCCAAAATATCTTTTACGATTTGCCACAGTTTATCTATGTCAGAGACTTTAATTGACAAATTTAAGTCCGTAAAGATGTTTGGCAATGTCATCCATTTTATCGTTTTATTACAGCAAATTGTATAATAAATAGAGGATATTGAATGAGTGAAGGTTTAATACAAAATTTATTGAACGAGTTGAATAAAATCATATTGTTTTATTCAAAGAGTTCAATAAATTAAGTATTGAACCTACACGAATATAACATTCTATTTATCACATATTCAAAAAGAGAACTGTTAAAGTTAAACCGAGTCATTTTTCATTGAAGCGCCTATAATGTAACCTTAACATTAGCGTGCTTAAACGCTATGTATGAATAGCACAAATGACGTCACATCAAAGTGTTATTACACTAGTGTAATATCGTTTTTATTAAATGACTTTGTTACACTCCTGCGGTTTATGTGATAATAGATCTTTTTACATTTAAGCTTATGTTGGACATATCATCATTAAATCACAAAAAAATGAAATTCAAACGATAAGATTCTTTTTTAACAGATTCTGCTGTATCATTACTCAATGTCATATTTTTTTTTTCTTTTAGCTCCACTTTTCGAGTGAAAGTGAGGGCGCTCGTGCTGACGCTAGCTTAGTTTTTAATTTTTCAGAAAATATCTTGGCCCTTCACTTCAAACTTGGTATACGTGGGTTGTCCCAATATTCTTTGACAAGATTGTTTAAAAGCTAAATAATATAGGTACGAATTTGATATTTAAATATGTTATAAATTCATAAAATTGAAACATTTCCACAAGAAAAATATCAATAAACAACAAAAATATGCCATAAACACCACGGCAACTATCTGAATCACGGCGCACGTCAAACGTCAAAGACGGAGTTAAGTCTATATAAAATAGTGAAAAACAGAATACCTAAAGAAAGCCAAACACGGCAAAATTGTAAAATGTTGCAGGCTCGGTTTGATTGAGCCTGTTCATGGACTGTAATGGAAAGTGTAAGTTTCCGTCCACGCCCCTTAGCACCGGCTTAAGCAGAATTCAATAGTAAACACAAAAATGGTGAAATTTTAAATTAAAGAAATATCCGCAGATGTGTTCATACGGCGGTTATCATGGAACCTTCAATGTAAAACGCCTTTTTCAAATACTCTTAATGGCTTTCAACGCAATAATGATGCAGCTTTACCCATAAATTGTCAATTACAGACTTAAATCATATGGTTGTCAATGTAAGTTGAATGTTTGGATGACATACATTAATGTTTGCTATACTCGAACTTCCGGTCTCGTTGCACCTGCTATTAGCTGTAGGAAATAGGCGACGGAGATCGGTCTTCCTATTCGTGTTTTCCTTAATTTAGCTTTTTGTATCGCAGAACTATGGTTCCGTTTATGCCTTTTGTAAACAAATTCTAGGATATGTTGCTTAACTGTTATATTTAGTATATTTGTTGAAAATCGTAGCATATGTCATCTCGAAATAGTCACGAAACCTGAGTGACCTGTTCACTGCGCCGCAAATTCTTCGAACGTCGCCGTTTTAACTTTCTTTTTTTCTATGTGATATTTTCAATTATCCGAATCTTGTTCGTTTTTAAGTTATTTACATAAAATTTTCTGAGATGATGTAAACATAGCAGCATAGGAAGTCAACGTGGCATTGTGCAGACACATCATTAGATATTTGAAATATACGTAATTAATTTTAGCCCTATTCAATTAGAAATTAATCCATATATTTTAATGATTACATATAATAATTATGTACAATTATTTGCAGTACATTTTTTTACATATTCTTCGATGTTTGAAAATTGTTTTATAAGCATAATTATATACATATATATATAATTTCACTTATGTGTGGTATACAACCTCAATTACAACATACAGGATCTTTAAGTAATAAACTTAACGGTTATATGTGTGAATTATTATCTATTGGCGTTAAAATAAAACCGTCTTTAAATTGGTCACGGACTGTTGGGACAACCCTCGTATATGTTCAATATGTTTAAAACGTCACACCGCAACTCAAGGACAGATTTAAAATACAGTTTTACCAAAGTATACCCATTTATCATTTTAACCCTAGTTAATATCAATGCAATTCGTCACTTAAATTATCAGAAGTATTCTTGCAGACTTGACAATAAGCGTTAACAATCGGAATGTATTTCAGAAGTGCAGGTTACAAGGCTTTTAATTCATTTTCCTTAATTAATCACACTTTATCGACTTATGATTTCTATGTTATCATTTTATTCTATGTACAGTAATAAAATAGCCAACGTCGAAATTCATTTTACTGTATTTTTCCATTTTTTTATAAATACATTTGGATTTTTCTCTCAAATATCATCAAAGGTACTCTCTTTGAATTCGAAGACTTGTTCACTTTCGGAAGAAAGTAAGTCTGCCAAGCACTGTTGAAGAATTTTGCCTCATTTATACTTTGTTTTTATCTTACTATTCAGAACTGAGGAATGTGGAACGTGCTTTTCGAGGACAGGTTTCATTTACATTTCAAAATAATGGCGTCCTATTTTTCAAATTTGCTTAGCGAGGCAATGGACTGTATAGGCTACTCTGAAAAAATTATTAAAGTAAGAGCGCATACTTGTAAGGAGATTTTTGAAGTTGCCAGTCAATCCTACCTGATGGAAGCAATTCTAGCCGGAAGTAAATCAGAAGGAGTGGTACCAATTCACGATAGTGACATTGACATTATGTATGTTTCACCATTCTGCATTTGTGTTGATCACGGTCGATTAGAGGATAACATTATCATAATTGAAACAGATATGAATGATTGTCCCTCGGGATATACCAAATTACGTTCATTGGGTCTTTGTTATTGCTTTGGCATACATTTAATGATAAATTCAGACAATATGGATTTCACTACGGCGATGCCCGATATTATGATGTATAGAAACTCCCGATATTTTCCCGATAATAACCCGTATATAAACTCATATAAACAAGTAAATAAAACAACATCTGGACCTGCTGATCTGGCAAATGGATGGCAATCTAAAATTTTAGGCCTAATATGTGACGGTGTTTCAATCGACTGTGTTTCTGCAATACGCTATTATTCTACTAAACTCTTGCAAAAATGGGCAAAGCGTAATAGGCAGTTTGATTGGCCGCCGCACGATGTCATAGAAGACGTTTCAACAACAGAAGGCTACATTGTACCTTTTGGAAATAAGTTAAGCACAGGTCAAAATCTTGAATGGAGAATATGCTTTACTACTGGGGAATGTAAATTGGTCGCCAGTTTTAATGCAACACAACTTAAGTTGTATGTTTTGTTAAAAATGGTTGTTAAAGATATCCTGACACCAGCAGTTGACTGTGTCAGCTCCTACATGGTGAAAAATGTTGTATTTTTGGTAATGGAACATACTCCAACATTTGTCTTTACCCCGTCAAATCTGGCGAAATGTGTCTTACACGCTTTGTGTTTTTTATTGCACTGTCTTCATAATAACAATCTACCAAATTACATGATACCAAACCGAAACCTTTTGATTGGAAGGGTACAGGGAAACCAAATAACAGAACTAAGACACCTTGCAAGAGAACTTTTAAACGAGGGTGAGACAATAGTTCTTAAATGTGAGAAGCTCAGAAATGCTATATATGTAGCTGGATGCAATCGTAGCTTGGCAACAAGAATTCAGTCATGGCGAGACGAAACCGAACAGTTGTATATGCTTTTGATCTTAAACTCGGTAAAAAAATACAAGAGCTATTATAAATTGCAGGGGTTCTCCGGTGTTGATGGGATGATTGAACTTATGAGAAACCACTTATACTGGCATGTTGCCCGTAGACTTGCGTTTGTCTATGTAAGAAATGGTGCCAACGCCTATGAAAACGTGAGAGCCTTGTTGCACAAATTGTTATCATAATGATTTGAAATATTCTGAACAATCTAAATATTTCATTTTAAAATTGCGTGTCAAAGTGGCTTTTTAGAGAACTTTATCTTACTGTGAACTTCAATTACAGCGAACACGGCTATAGCGATATTCTGTTTATTAGGAACAAATTGTTTGGGCCCGAAGTTTGCCTTTCTTTATTCGTTGTAAAAAAAGTGATAAATATCTTTATAACCACCACAGTATGTACGATACTGTAAGGAATTCAAATTTTAGTCAAACGACTCTGAAGGTAGCATTATTTCAGACTAAAAATGACCTACCAGCAAATATTTTCCGTTGTTTTCTACGTTCGTTTCAATCGGCACGGATTAAGGGCCGGTAGAATATATTAGCCGCTATTTCATTCCAGAACGGTGGTGGTGGTGTTAGTTGTTTGAACAGTCTCAATCAAACCGTGCCTGCAACATTTTCAAATTTGCCGTGTTGGACTTTCTTTAGGGAATCTGTATTTTTCTATTTTACTTAGGATCACGACAGTAAAAAAATCTGGAAACGCAGTGATCCCTCGGAAGCATTAATCACAATCACAACAAAATTACATAAGAACTCGGTTTGATTCAGTCTGTACATAAGGGGTAATGAATAAGTGCAACATCCCTCACGCTCCCTAGCACCGGCTTGAGCGGTACTCAATTTTCAAGAGCGGTACTCATTTCTCAACACTTAATAGTGCTGGCTTCAATGATCCCGAAGGATCTGAATAATATAATAACACTGAAGTGATGTACGGGGCAACCTTTTACAGCTGCCACACAGCATTTGACACCTGCTGTAAGCCACATTGAATTCACCAGAGCACAGTTCAACCACCGCATCGTTCCTGGGCAGGCTGTCAAGCAGTTTACCAGTACTAGTTGCCTTCACTTTCGCAAGGAACTAAACCTTCTGTACATTCAAGAGCAGAGGTACAGTACGAATGACCGTAGAAAGGATTTTATGATCAATCACAACGAAAGTGACCTGCGCCGTCCGGGAATCAAACCCGGGTCAACGCTCTACCTATTGAGCTAACCGGGCGGCTTTCATTCCAGAACTTGCAGGCTTACAGTTTTTATAGACAACAGCAAAGAACTGCAGATACAGGAAACAGATTTTGAATGTCTACATGAGTTTGCTATAATCAGGGCTTACTGTATAAAATTCGATCTCACTTCGGCTCTGTTCGTGTAGTTTACAAGAATTAATATGGAGTATACATGTATATATCTAATATTATGAACGGTCACACTAGTTTAATGTATCGTCACATCCGTTGTAGCACAGTCGGTTAGTGCCTTATATATTAGAGGTCTATGGTTGAATACCAAATTTTGCCATTATTTTGGACCTTCTTTTCTTTTGTTTGCAAAATTATCTACACGAATATGAAACACTTAACTTAGAAACATTGTTTTGTCCCGTTTTGTATTGTATTTTACGGCAGTGGAATCAAATTTATTGATTTTAATCTGAGTGAATTTTAAAAATTAATTCTTACACCATGTTATTTAAAAAGAGTATAGACTTTAAGTGCAAAACATGTTAAAATACAAAACGAACAACATCAAACACAATCAAGATAGAACATGGCCCTACGCGTCCTCGATATGACATTTAGGAATTATTAACCCGTAGTTTGCCCTATTGCGCTTTAACAATCATTATAACTTTTTCATAGGCACATATTAAATTTAACAAATTACTAAAAACTTATCGACGTGTACATTGACTGTATAATCAGTATGTAATTGACATGTTAATAAAATCAAGCATTATATGTGTTTATGGTATAGTGAATGACAATATTATATTCAAGGCTTCATAATTTCTTCATCATTTTTTGTGTACGTGAAATACTTGTAAATACAGTATAATATTATTCACTTCTTACTTTACATCACGTTTCATCGCATTGTAGTTAGTTGCATAGCAACTGCAGTTTCCTTTTAATGAACTAAAAAACCTGTTATTCTTTGAATTAATATTAGTTATAAAGATCGTTGACAGGTTATATGGCCCTATATAAACGGCTATTTGTAAATATAACCCGAGCCGTTAGGCGAGGGTTATATTGCAAACAGCCGTTTATATACAGCCATATAACCTGTCAACAATCTTAATAACGAATTTATAATACAGCAAGCATCATTTTGAGTGGAAAAAATAAGATTTTTTCATGAATCGACAGCAGCCGTGTATATAAAACTATATAAACATCACGATTATCCAATGAAAAATGACGTTACAAACGTGCAGTATTATAATATTATTTATACATGTATGTTAATTTTGAAATTTTATTATTAAATATTCTTATTTGTTTTCAGTCACAGTTACACTGAGCTTTGCATTATTTGTATAAAGCTGCGTTAATATGTTAACTTGTTAGTATTCAGAATGTTCTCCGTTCATTTTCGGGGACACACACGCAAACAGTTGCTAGATACAAGCGTCAGTTGTAATAGGTAATTCGTTTGGTGTAATATTTGCCACAAATGTGTATATAGAATTGAGAATTAATATCTTATTAAGCTATGTTTTAGAAAAAGAATGCTGTAAAGTTTTTTAAACGTTTAGTTACAGATTTTCAAAGCCTGCTGACAGAACATATTATTTATTAAGGTAGAACGCGACACTTTGCGAACTTTCAAGTAGCGTCTTGAAAATTGGCATGCAAAAAATTGACCATATTTTTGATTGGATTTCGTTAATTTTATTTCAATAGTTTCAGCCAATTTTTGTACACACGACGTCAAAGTTGACCATCAAAGCCCGTTTTTGAACATGACGTCGTTGCGTATCCTTGGCAACTGTTACAGGTATTTCAACGCCATTTGCGGACAAAATATCTTAAATCCTACAGCATTCGACGGAAATTATTTTTTCCTTTAAGCAGATATAAAATTTATTGTTTCACACTGAAAATTGTTTGAGTAATGGAAAGAAAATTGGCAATTTTGTGTAAAATTTGACGTTCAGTTTAGCCGCAATTTTCGGCTTTTAAGCGGCTTATTAAAAAATTCCTGAAATAAATTTTTGATTTTTTTCTTTAAACGTCCTTTAAAATGTATAAAAATAAATAAAAATATTAGGGGGTCACCGACTCAAATATTTCAGTACACGTGATTTTATTTCCCCCACCCCTTTGGATAAAAGTCACGCTATCACGGGGCGTTTAGTTTTTTGATGTTATTAAAGCGATCGCCCTGTGTTAAAATCCCGCTTTTTACGGCATTTTACGCCATTATGACCACTGCGGAAAATATATGGATACAATAAAGGGTACGGAATTCCGTATATCATAGATAGACAGGTAAAAATAAGTAAAATTTGATGTACGGGACCGTATATCATGCAATACGGATATGACTAATATACCGTGATCCGTACACTCGTAATATGCGGGAACTTTGAATGAAGTCCGTATTTACTAAAATGCGTATTTTTTTTAATTACACGGTCAGATATTACCAAAATATGATATTTTTCTTGTAAATACAGATTTTGTATATAAAACAAAGAATAAAGTTGTAATTCAGAATTACCCACGTTCTACAAGAGGAAAGAAATAATAGTCTGTTCTGACATGTGTCAGAATAGCATTAAATAGTAAAACTTTGAGTAAAATGTAATATTTCTCGGTTTTATTAACATGTCAGTTGCATACTGATTAAATAGTTTATTTCGTTAACCTGCATGGCTGGTGTTAATATCTTTGCACATATATTTCTGATTTTGTTGTTGCAATTTTGCATTTATCAAATAAATAAACTTGAGTTTAAAGGTTATTACAAGACTTAGTTTTCAATATAAAGTGATTCATTAGGATAAAGATCACTTTCCAAAATGCATAGTTTATACCAATGGATATCCAAGTATCACAGATAGCTTAATAATACTAAAGATTGATGCAGCTTCCTCTCCTAATCTCTTTTAACTTCTGTATTTGTAATTTAAACTTCAAGTTTCCAATATTTGGCAATCGTAAAATATCCGGTTATCAGAGATTATGCCACATTTTCACAGAAGTCGTACTTGTTACAAAAACTAAATTGTCAACCCGCGTTAGAGTTTCATGTATGAAAGAGCACATACCAGGTTAATTTAGTTTTAATGTAAAACACGCCTAGTACTCCTTATGTACGTTTATAGTAGGAGACGTAACAATCATGCGTACAAAATCTTCAAATTACATCACATTAAACAGCAGCTAAGAAACTTTCAGAATATCATATTTCTCATTGTCATATGTAAATAAAGTGTCAACGAATTTCTAATAGTTTCAGTTTCAGTTTTGGTTAAACCAAGGCATGTATTATGCAACTGGATACAACAAATTATTTAACAGAAAAATAACGATCATAACAGAAAATCACCAGATATAAAAAATACAATTGTGACTAAGTAAAATAAATAAAAATCAAGAGACCAATACTCATTTACAATGCAACAAACGGGAAAAGTAATGGGGAAGGAGATGTATTATCTAAATTTTAATATAATTTTTTTTTTACAAAAATAGAGATAGTTTAAGTAGCGTTGTTTTATCAAAACTTTTCATTATTCAGTCAAGTTTAAACATACATTGAGATGAATGTAAAAACTAGAAAGAAGAGATTTACTTCTACTGTTAATAAAACATGTACATTCAAATAAGCAGTGGAATCCATCACCAATAGCTTGATGTGGACATAAGGAACATCTGCGATAACTGTCAGCCTTTTTCAACGGGTAATAGGTGGTTATTTGTTCTAAATTTACACAATTGTTTGCCTAATTTAAATGGAAGTACATGTAGATATGTTTCTAAACAATTTGCAAACCTTTTAACATATACTTGTACAATGTACGTAAAATATCATTCATTACTTTACCACGTGTACAATTAAACGGCTTGCATTTACTGTGTTTACATTTTAATTAATTGAAGGGAGTAAATTAATATCTGATTCTTTATTTTTCTCAATTTGTGTAACGTATAATATGACTTAGATGTCTAGTTTTAACAGAATGCAACATAATGGCGAAGCATTTTAACTTAACACAAATAAGGACAAAAATAAACTCAGAACCATTTGATAAAATCATACGTAAATATAGTTACATTGTTTTTGCTTACATTCAATTACGTACCTAACAAATGATTAAGTTTTAATAAATCTTTGCTTGACAAATACACAATAAATTATTTTTGAAATAAATAACCCTACAATAAATAAGCCTTACCAATTACAAAAAGTATTCGGTTTGGTGTTTTCTTTCACTTTTATCTTCTTTTTACCTCGCTTAAAAGTTATTGCACTTCTCAACGTTCGATCCCCTGCAGTTGATGATCAAACAAAGTTAGAACTTAGGCCTACGATTTTGTTACTTTTTACAGCACCATGCAATACTTGACAGCTTGTTTATCTGAATGTTATATTTATGACGTATTTTTCGTTCACTTAAATGTTATCCAAATCTGCGACGCAAAATGTATTTTACAACGAAAATGTCAATGATGACATTATTCAAAGGCGGCCAAGTATGAACTTGAATACAAAAATATATACCATAAATACCATAAAGGTACTTGTAACTTTAAAAAGAACAGAACATACGTTTTATTTTAGACTTGTACATAGTACATCACCATGCAAATAGATAAATAAAACAATTATCATGTCACGTGATCAAATTAACACAAACTACAATGTAATTAGAATATTTAATAGAAAGTACATTGTTTACAAAAAGAATGTTAAGACATGTAATAAGTAAGTATTTTCCCAATCATAACAGTAATAGATATCCTACTGGCAACCTCACAGGATATTGTTTACTATATTTTACAGAGGAAGGTTCCATGCTAGGTCGAGTTAAATAAATTCATTTTATCCGACGATTTCCATATATCTTGTACTCGAGCTACACAAATATAAATTTCTATTTATCACTTACTGAAATAAAGCAGTAAACAGTGTAAAAACATGTTTTTTCCACAAAAAGGCCTAGTATTTACGTTAAGCATAACTTTATACTTTGTATTTGGCGTCTCAACACCTGCGCAAGAATGTGAAACCTCTTTATTTTTTTTATCTTAGATGAAAAATTGTGTAAGCAGATTTTCTTTCATTTTTGTGTTTGAACTGTTTTGATAAGCTTATAAGTAAAACCAAAATAACGATACCTTGATTACAATAAAAAGTGTTAACCATACCCTTACTTTGTTTATACTATACTTTTAGTTCATCTACAAAATGTTTCACCATATCATTTATTATGTATTTTCCTTAAGTTATAAAGCATATATGTTTCCAAGCATAACATATTACGTTAACACATTCACAAAATCTTAAAATTTGTTCTATATGTTATATATTACATAATCAGTATGATATATTACACTATGTATTTCGGCTGTTACCGCCGTTGGTTCGGTTCGCGCCAGTGGTTTTTTAATTTTCTGTGAAAAAATTATCAAGCTACGAAACATTCACTGTCGTTCTTCTCAAGTGTTTGTCCGTGCCTGAAATACTCCATGGATGGGTACCTGCGATCTTCCTCCACCAGTTAAAATTGAATGTTACAATGTGACCTATACAATAAGAGTAAATAATGTATTTTGTGTTTCATAATGAATATGTATCAATTATATATTATCTGAATTTAAGAATGACAGAAAAACTTTTCCATCACAACAACAAATCTAATCCATATTCTTAAAAGCATTATGCTAATACTGCAATGTTTACGTCATTTTGACGTCTTTATGTGACGTTAATCTGACAGTTTTCTTGCGTGTCACGTAATATATGTCAATTAAATGCAGATATCAATAAAATAACATTAAGATGTTCTTTCAGCTTCGACATTAAATTAAAGTACATAAGTATTATCCGAAGACTTAATTCCGATTACAAACTTGGAAAGTTATTAAAGCAGAATCATTAAACAGAAATGAATTAATACGAGTAAATCTGGCTCAGTACAGTTTTCATTTCCTTATTTGCACATGCCTCAACCGTTGTTTTTAACCTTTACAGTAATCTGTGCTTTGGATCACACTTGAAGAGCACGAATATATATTTCGGTATTACAGTAGAGAAAATCAAACTTTAATCATGGGCATGATGGGAGAAAACAATTCCAAATGTCACTAATAATACCGCGGAGCAACAGTTTTGTCGGTTACACAAACACTCACGAAATAACTGTAAACTGTCACACACTAATCTTAGAAATTGTTCATTTACCCATCTTTACCAAACTAACAACCACCATCACCACCATCATCATCACCACCATCATCACCACCACCATTACCATCATCATCATCAACAAAAACATCATCATCATCAACATCGTTACCAACAACAACAACAACAACAACAGCAACAACAACAACAACAACAACACATTCACTATGTGAAAACGCCCCTTTGCAATTAAATTGTGATCAATGGGTAAAATCTCCATGGTCAAATTTACTATATGACATTTTGTCTTTACTTAACCAATTAAATACAGCTTTTCCTGCAATCTGTCAATCAGTAGACTGAAAACGGTTAAAACAGATTGGTGTTGATGCAAGACAATACAGAAATTTAACTATTCTAAGCATATAGAAGCGTACCCAGCTTAATCTATATATTTAATTTCCTACTTTTTGTTAAGGAAATGGTCGGTCGTAAAATAAGCATATCTGCTGCAGCAGTGATATACAGAACAGGAAAAAAACAGAATCCCTAAAGAAGGTCCAACACGGCAGAAGTTTTACAATTCCTTGTAAAGTGTTCCTGCCATTTATCAAGACACGTCTAAGAATTCATGTCTTTGTTACATCAACTATATGAACGGTTCAAACAAAAGACTGCCAAAATAAAAGTGTCAAAAAACATTCGTCACATATTTTAATAATGTTGTTAAACCAAAGAAAGATGCTTCATATTAAAATTTTGCATTTAAAAATGAACAAATAATGCATTTCTAGATAAGATATAGAACAAAATGCCCAAAACTGTTTGTTGCAGAATGAAGATAAAATTTTGGGCAAATTTATGTGAATT